AATTTAACAATTTATTATTATTTAAAACTCACTTATCTTAATACCTCACAACTGAATTATGTAGAAAAAAAAAAAAAAGTTTTGGTGTCTTCTATATCATTTCTTCAATATCCAGCTTTACTGTGCCAGTATCAACCTCGTACAACCTCAACTCAACAACTTTAAAAATAGAAAAAAGAGGCTCCTCCATGGCCCGATGCAAGCTATTGTTTTTAAGGAAAAGAGAAGAAATTATTTTCAAATCTTTCATTTGAAAATAAAACAAAAAATCTATTATTCTAGTATGGAAGGAGTAATATTTAAATAATGAAATTTATTAATTTTTTATTATCACAAAAAAATTGTATAATTTCTTTTTAGGATTTAGAGTTGTTGATATTACAAATAAAATTGAATATTATGATAATATTGAAGTTATATTGAAGTTACATTGAAGTTATATTGAAGTTACATTGAAGTTATATGGAATAGAATTGAATCTGAATAAAAAAAAAAATTGAAAAGAAAGTATAGATCTATGAAGGGAATATATAGGGAATATATATGAACTCAATAAAAGGAAAAATCTTGGATATAGTTATATAAAGAAAAGCAATAGGAAGATAAATTAGTATAAAAAGAAGATAAACTTGTATAAAGTGTAATTAACTTGTAAAAAGGGGAAAAAATTGTTTGATTGTAGAAAGTGGTAGGATGAAGAGATAGGATGTTACCGTATTTCATAGTTATCAACCTCACCTGTGAAGAGCAGAATCTCTCCACTAGAGAATCAGAGATAACTGATAACTCAGATAATTAAGTATTCCACCATTATGCATTGATATATTATTTTAAGAATCTTGATAACTAATAGAGTGAAAATTTATCTCCCATGCTCTGCCCAGGGTTAGGGGCGGTGGCTATGGGTTTCTCCCTAGGGTTTTTCTTCGGTTAGGAGTTCCTCCCTCTTCCTCTTCTTCTCCGACAAGGGTTTCTCCTCTTGCTTTCTTCCTCCATCATCGTCATCTGTCTTGCTTTGGAAACTTCAACCCAAGGGACCACAAGGCAACGCCTCCTTTCGATCCGCATCAGTTGTTGATTTTTGACGACTGCGTCTGGATATCGAGGTACTTGATCCAGCTGATGGTTGGATTTCTCCCATCCTCTGAATCAGATTTTCACTTATGCATGTCTCCTCAGATGAGATCTTGGCAGGGGTGGCAATCGAAGAAACTAGCACACTCCACTTTTCGATCTAGCAACCAAATACCAATATGGCTGCAGTGGCACGTCAGGTTCTGATTTGCACGTGAGCATGCTACTCACGTTGGCAAATGGGCTCTAGTTCCCTTAACAAAGTTTCACCTGCAAGGGTTTTCAGAGGATCGATAATGATGGGCACATGGTTGAAAGTAGTCGGCGAAAATTAGGGCGGCAACTTGTGGGTTAGGGACTATTTGTTTCCGAAATCCCTTGCTCTCCCCATGAAGCTGGTTAAATAGGTGAGGACTTGTCCAGTAACTTCCGATGCTCATAGCAACTCTCCTTTTTACTTTAGTAGCTCTATTTAGCCCATATAGCAATTGCAATTGTAATCTCTAGTTGCAGATGGCTCTATTTACTTAATTGTCTGTATTCGTCATGGGCATAGTTTAAATCTGTTACTAAGCTGTAGGTTATGTTTCTGATTCTGTTTTTTAGGCTCTCATGCTTTAGGCTATATGCCATGTGATGGAGTTTTTTACTGTACTTTCTTATTATTCAATATATTTCTCCATTTTTTATCAAAAAAAAAAAAAGAAATCTTGATAACTAATTAACTGTTTAAAGGTTTTATGTTGTCAATTCCTACCTTGATACAAATTTCAAATTTTATATCTCCTATTCAAATTTGAGATTGAGATGAACAAGAAAATGGCTAGTGGACTAGAATTGAAACAACAGAGAATATTTTTTATCATGAAAATTGTGAAAATAAAATTTTATAGTAAAATGAAAAATAGATTCCTTCCAAACCCTTTAATTATTTATATTGAACATGAAATAATTTAATCATTTAGTGTAGATTCTATTATAAATAAATTTTATAACATGAAAACTCATCCAATATTATTATAATTTATGTTATAAAAACAAATTTCCAAAATTACAATGCATTATTTCAAGACTTGCCGACCCTGACCAAAATTCCTGGGTCCGCCACTGTTTACAGCGTAAATCATTTGAGAGTTCTTGTCATCTCATACAGAAGAAAATCATGACGATCACAACGTACGTTTTATTTGAACTAGTATTTACATTCTTTGCCGTGTATGTCACGAGTCCAAACTCTGATCGTAATAGATCAACAACTTAAATTAACGGTGGATTAGAGTTTCTGATATTACAAATTCCACAAACAAGAAAACCAAAGGTAATTACAGCCTCCCATTACTGACATAGGATTTTACATAGGAAGAAACTGCCGTGTTGAACTGGAAAGCGTCGATTTATGCAAGAGAAAAAAGACCATCACAATCAATTTTCCTTTTCCTCAACTGATGAATGGTCTGATCTGATCGATCCCCATGGTGATAAGAGGCCCTTTTGAGGTGATTTTAGGAGCTCTGCAGACTTCTGCTGCATTGACAAAGAGGAAAGGAAACTGAAGGAGCATGTTAATGTCAACCTCTTCTTTTCACTGTTGTATGGTTGCTCATGTCGCACAACAGAAGTCTTAAAGGCATCAGGAAGGATGCAATTGCACATTGAACCTAACACAGTTAAAAGATCACATAAGTAAACATTACATCCATGCAGCGCAACAACAAATTTTTTTTCCTTTTTCCTGAATCGGGGGAAGGTGTCTAGACAGCAATGTTCTGCACAGCTAAAACAGTAGCCATTGACAGTTCTAGGCAGATGCTGTAGGATGCTTTTTCCCAACAAAACAGCCCTCAACCACACTTTCTCAGTTATGCTCCATAAAAGAATTCATGCAAATTACTCAAGCAGTCTAACTAGGAAGAATGGTAAGAAACAAGAATGCAATAACTTCATGGTGAAAACAAAAATTTAGATCATAAGGCACCACTAGCCTCAACTTTGCTGTCAGAATAAGCATTGCAGCGTATTTTTTTACTACAATATACTAGACAAGTATGAATCTTGAGAACGTTTGCTAGTGAGGTGTTGGTAAGATCAAAGTTGGTCAGAGTAATATAAGAAACTGCAATCTGAAATGTTGTTAAAGGTGGGATGAGATAAGATTTACCTAACTTTGCAAGTCGATTTACCCATTTTGGGGTCCGTTTCCCAGTAAGCTTGTAACAAATGTCCTTACAGAAATGGTTGCAGTTTTTGGCAAGCAAGTGATAAGTATTGCCATTATATCTAGTAGAATGGTGCTCCATGAATTGCCTAACTTGGATAGGGTCCAGAGATGTCCTCCCAATCAATATTGATTCCCTGAACTTGAACCCTGGACACTGTCTTGGTTCAACCTCAAAAACGCCGCTTGTTGGGAAGTCATGAGCTCCAAATGCATATTCCACACCATGAACTGTACAGTGCCGGTAGGACTATCAGAAAATCTTAACTTTGAATGGAAACAGAATAGCAACATAAGACAAAATAAGAAGTAAATCCTAACAAGTGGATTAGGATAAACAACCATTGAAATCTTCTGGATTTTTATACTAGACAAGATATAGTTCATTTCATTCCACACGTGTAGGCATCATATTTCCAGCAAACTAAGAGAAAAGCAGAAAAAGTACATCTCAAAATTATAATCAAGGGTACCTTCCACTCCAGAGTGAAAGATACCAAGGCCTGCCCAGTAGAAGTAGCCATTCATTGGTGTCAGGTCATATACATTTAGATACACAGGAGTACTTCCTGGTTCAAAGCTGGTTGGCTTCACCTTTGGGAACAAACGAAAACGAGAGGCTGATTTGTTCCTCAAACGAAAAGTCACCATGGTTTTCCACCCTTTCTTTGATTTTGATTTCATTTTTCCTTGGGAAGGCCAGATCTTAGAGCGTGTCTCTGATCTGGGGCAAACTATAGGCAATCAGCTGTAAAAAAAATAAGATCACTTCATAATTATGGAAAGTAAATTTCTTAAATGAATAATCATATATCAGAAGCTACTGCAACATTTTTCTGGGATCTCAAAGATCTAAAGCAACAGAACCATATCATTCTTCCTTGACTAGTAGCTCCCCCATTATTCTCAAAAATCTAAAGAGATGTGCAGATTCACAATTACAGATACATATGCTTGAGACAACCCGAAGGCTGGTTACTGGAGGTTTGAATTCCCAACAAACAAAGAGGGGCAAAACAACTATTATGAGAAGGATCCAAGACTTCAGAATATGAAACTTCTTTTGCCAGCAAAAAGTAGAAACATGAAAAAATTATATGCTTCTCAATGACCCACATGAAACTAGACAGAATCCCAAAATTCCCTTCGGAGCTGATTTACGTTGTAAAAGAAGATTTAATAATAACATTATGAAAAGGAAAATCACCACAGCCTTTTATGGTATTAGCTCAAGCAGCAGAATTATATAATTACAACTGAAAAATCATGATTTTACTTTCCTGGGAAAGGAACATAAAAGGAAAAAGAAAGAAGAAACCCAGTACAGCATGATCTCTAATCTTGTCCACTGAAACTATTTCATAACAGCAGTACTTATAACTTATCCGAGTAGCCTCAACAATCAAGTCTTGCATTTTCCGAAGGAGAACAGACTGGTAAGTCCGGCCAGATTCATAATTTACACGAGCTTCTCCTAACATTGTTTCCAAAGGGACAATCTTTTTCTTGATGGGTACTCAAATTAAAAAGAAAAGAACAAAAATTTAAGAATAACATGAGAATTCTTCTAGATCCAGTCGAAACCGTTCACAACCAAGATAAAGAAAGAATCAAAGGGAAAGAGAAAACATAAATGCACATAAAAGGAAGATACTGCGTTAAATCAGAGAGATTTGGAATACAAAAAGAAGAAGAAGAAGAAGCAATCTATACCCAATTAACCAAAACAAAAGACCCACAAGAAAATCTACAAAAAGAGAGGGAAGAAAAGCACGAACATCAAAAAGAATAAAGAAGAAAGAAGAAAACAGAGAAAGTGATTAGACCCATATGAAATTATGCATCGGGTGGCAAAACCCAGAAACAGAAAACACAAGAAAATGAAGAGAAAGTGGACTGCAGAAAATGCTTACAGGGTTAGAACAGAAGAGCATTGTAGATTTCATGCAGCAACAAACCCAGATGCATTCCTGCCTTTTGGTGGTGGCATACACGAGGAAAAACAAAATGGAAGAAGAAGAGGTAATACAGATTAACCTCCAGAATCTGGAAGTTAAATAAAAACTCTCTTCCCTGTCTCTTCCCCTTTGGCCCTCCCTCTCTCTTGTTTTTACTGTTGCTGACGCTGCCAATTCAGTACCAAGCTTTCTTTCCAATGTTATACTCCTTTAATTTAAAATTTTTTCACTTTCTCTTATTTTATATTTTTTATAGTTATTATATTTTATCATTTAAATTATATTATTTATAAAATACAAATAATTATATAAAAAAATTTAATATTAACAAATTTATTACTTGTCTAATAATTACTACGTAAAACTGTTTACAAAATAAATTATATGTAATATATCATGTAAAATGATTTAATTGTCTTTAAATTTTGTTTTATAGTATTTTTTTAAAAAAATTTAACAATTTTATAAAATAAATTACAAGCAATCCATCATGTAAAACAGTATTTTACTATTAATATTATATAATTTAAATTATACAATCTTTTATCTATTATAGACACTAACTATTGAGAAAATAAAAGGTGTTAAGGTAGTTATTTTTTCTGTTATTTCTTGTGTCATTTCCTCCATTATTTGCTAATCAATTAGCATTGCTTTTGCCATTTAATTTAAATATACTAATATTAAATTCCTATGAAATGACCTTGTAGGTTGGTGTAAACTCCTTATCAAAGTACCTTGTAATTTGATTCATAATCTCTTACTTATTTCCTAGTCTGTGATTTAAATAGATACAACCACACTTGAACTGATTGAAAGTTGTTTTGAGGAGAAAAATGGAAAATAACAAATTAGCAAATGAGAAAGAAAATAAAAACCATTAAAGATTATAAAGGTTGAGACATCAAAATTTTAAGGTTATGGATTTGACTATGTATAAGGGAAAACTTCTTTTATTTTTCTTGATGGTTTTGTGTTGTCTTTTAAGTGATTAAATTTAAAATAGTATTGCTTTTAAGAAAAAGTGTTGTAAATTATATTAAATTGAATGATATATATTATATATATTATTAGATAGAGAGTGGGTGTTTTAATCTAATAAATTCTTACTTTATTCAATTGTTTTTATTTTATAATTTAGATTATAAAATAAAAAACTTTCATTACTATTGTATTTTTGTGTATTGTATACATAATTATGGAGGAATTGTTTAATTAATTTCTTTGAAAATTACAACTTCTTTTTGTCTTAAAAAATTATTATTTTTTGTTTTAAATTTATCATAAATTAATTATGATTTTTGTAATTTATAAGATAAATAAATAATTTTATCTTAACTTTATTATTTATTTATTTATTTTAATTAATTATTTAATTATAAAATTTTTTATATTTATTTTTAAAAGATATTATAAATATATATAAATATTGTTTTTAAATTTTAAAAATATAAAAAAGCAATTATTTTAATAAAAAATTGTACTATTTGGATTCACATGTCGTTTTCCGACCACGCATGTGTGCCACTTCCAAAGACTAGAGCTAGCAGCAAGTCTCTTCCCCCGATAATATCCAACACAGTAGTATTATCTAAATGTGTTTTCCCTTTTTCCTTTTTTTCTTTTTTTTTGAACATGAAAGAATTTTAGTGGGTGATTTTTTTTTTTTTGAATTGTTAATAAAAATTGAATTTCGATCAATTAATTTTTTTATTTTGATTATATAATAAAAAATATTCAATTCTCATTTTTAATCTCACTCTACGTGCATGTAATACGATTCAAATTTATTATATCGTATTTTAAAATTATTAAATTATTTCAGTTATTGAATTAAAAAATTAAATTTAAATATTAAATTTTAAAAATGAAACATTGAATCCAAATCTCCAGTTCAGTGTTACCATAAAACTATTCCAAAAAATAATTTCGGGTGCATAGTCACGTCGTTTCAAAGAAGATTAATGTTTGGGAAGTCAATAAAATGTTTCTTAATGTCAATACAATAATTAATATAAGAAAAATATTTCATTAAAAAAATATATAAAAAGAATTCAAGATAAGTCAAGATTTAGGAATTTTTGCTGATACGCCTTGACAAGTGCAGTTTTCCTTCCTTGTAGCAGTTGGGTAAGTGCAGCTATTATCTCTATCAATTACCTAAAATTTTACATTCACAAATCACAATGCATGCCGATTCACCAACCCCTCTAAATAAGGAAAATCATGAGCGTCACTACAAATACAGTG